TCTGTATTCTCACGATAGCCAGTGGCCAATAAGAGATAATAGTGTCAGAGAGGAGAAAGAGTGAGGAAGAATCGGGTGGGCAGGGCCTAGGGATTAATGACTACTTAAGGTGGCTCCTACCCCTCGGGTCCAAATTTTTTTTGTTTGAAACGTGGCTACAAACGATTGCACTTTGTTCCGTTGGATATCTAGTGTACGGAGACAAATTTTTATCAAGTTCTACCGGCCGGTTTCACTCGAGGGAGGGGCCAAACATAGCATACTCACAATTGCCAATTTAGGCCAAAAAATACCGGAAAACCACTTTTTTGGCCGTAGCACCGGTAGTTACCCCCTTTTTCTTGATGTCCAACATCAGGACAGTAGTATACTTGCTAAATATCAGCATAAGCTGTAGAAGTGGGTAGAATTCTGCGAGAAGGTGACCTTTTTTCTCTTTTCGGAATCATCCCATTTCAGCGCACACGTCCCACATATTAGCCCCGCCCACAAGTATTTGACACTGGACTTGCCCTGTATTCGATGGTTATGCTATCATAACCTAATAATGGTACTGTGTAACAAGTTTGAGCAGGTTCTACCGAAGGTAACTCGTGAAATAAAACTTTGAAGTTTCAAGTGATGCCGTATTTCAAGAATCAGCACATTGCACTGGGACATTGTCCAACGCCTTAGAACCCCTGACTCCACCATATGACAGATACGTGTCTTACAATAATTGATTGCAACATCTTCCGAACATAGTAGTAGAGCTTTGGATCATGTTTTAGCAGTTTCCACCGAAGCTAACTACCAAAATAGTACTTTGAAGTCGCCCACATACTAAATGCCATAGCTGAGCTTGTGCATTGAGTGTATGGTCTAAAGGTTTTCACAACTGGCTCCAATGCGGCAGATACGTGTCTTACATTACTTGATTGCAACATCTTCAGAACATAGTAGTAGAGCTTTGGATCAAGTTTTAGCAGTTTCCACCGAAGCTAACTACCAAAATAGAACTTTGAAGTCGCCCACATACTTAATGCCATAGCTGAGCATGTGCATTGAGTGTATGGTCTAAAGGTTTTCACAACTAGCTCCAATGCGGCAGATACGTGTCTTACATTACTTGATTGCAACATCTTCAGAACATAGTAGTAGAGCTTTGGATCAAGTTTAGACAGTTTCTACTGAAGCAAACTACCAAAATAGAACTTTGAAGTCGCCCACATACTAAATGCCATACATGTAGCTGAGCATGTGTATTGAGTGTACATGTATGCTCTAGTGTTTTTCACAACTTTCTCCAACATGAAGCCGATAGTGATGTGGAATTTGTTGACTGCTTTGTCCAAAACATAGTGCTAAAGCAATGCACATTGGGCACTTTCTACTGGTAATGTAATTATTATAATACAGTGTTTGCTGCCAACATAGCAAGACATACTTCTATACTAAATGCGTATTCCACGGGGTACGGTCCAATGGCTTTTCACTTCACATCTAGCCACTGTTCTTCGTGCATTACTTGAATGCTTAGCCGGTCTCCGTGGTAATGAAGCTAAGAGCCACACTGGAGAAGTTTCTACTGAAGCTAACTATCAAAAATATAAAATTTCCAAGATGCTACTATTACATCAAGTAGCTGTGTGCAATGCCACTCTGTTGAACACAGTAAGCAAAATCGAGTCACTAAAACCCTATTTGCCAGATACAAGCTGTTGAGACTGATAGCAGCTGTATGATCTGATATGGATGGCGGTTCCACACTGACCAGCACATGTACACGCGCACAGGCAGAAGAACACACAAGTAATACACCTAACGTTACTTCGAAGTACACTGTGTACATCATGTAAATACAAGCGTATATACAAGCATAACTCCTGTTCTCCACAACTGGCAGTCCTGGGCCACTCCAGCTGGTCAGAGTGCAATACTTTCTGCAGCAGGCTTGACTTGGAAAGCTACTCACAACTGCCATGGCTGCAACATAAGACTTAGTATTACCAGCGCTTTTACAGTGCTACTTGTATTATATTATTGTCAATCCATTGTGGTGCGGCATGGCACTCGTTTTCAACAACCGAGTTTATGTCATTAGTTGCATATCCAACACCAGCAGAAAAAAAGAGGGGTGGGGGGCAAATTACCACAGTTCAACACTAGTCATACTGAACGGCGTTATGCCATGCCAGGCGCGCACACAAAACGCCCGCGCGAGCGCGCATGCATGTACACACCCGGGTGACACACATTGATGCGACTTTACATAGCCTGCACTGTCGTTCTATGTCATAGGAGTGAGTGCACACACATATATGTACATATAGATTGCCTAATTTTGCATACGTAATAAAATTGTATATGTATAGTATACACTGTCACACATGTGCGTGCACATATAGATAAACTCAACGGCATACGCATGAGTGTGTGCCAGTAGGGCCACATGCCAATTATCGGATTAGTCTGTGAAAGTTGCACGGCACGACAAACTTTCGGACAGTCTAAAGATATGACACAATGAATGTGGAATACCCTCCAGCGTGTAAGACCATTTCATATCTATTTCGCAGCGTTTGTGATTTTCGGAGCGTCCCTGTTGATATTTGATGTCCTCACTTGGTTGATGACACAGTCACAAATTATCAAATTCACCTCCAATGCCATCCAATCTGCCGCACGGTTCCGCGATACATGTACAGCGAACGGTGTTGAGGAAAGCCATGCAGCAATAAAACAGTCGAGACTCCCAAGCAGAGGATACAATTCTCGCAACAGCGTATTGAAGTACGAATTGTTCTAAACAATTTTCAAGACACAATTACAAAAATTGAAGTGCGTCTTGAAACGTGTTTGAAGTGCTTCGATGTATTTACCTTCGATCTCCCTGAATCGATCCATCCACAGCTACCTGACGAATTTGCTAGTCAGTGCGGGAGATGATCGAGCAAGTTATAATTATTTGAAGGTCGCGAGATGTCAGTGGCACTGGCAGGAAATCTACACAAGCGTGTTCTGAAATAATTTTCTAATACTCAGGCATGATTCAAGAGCGGACTTTGATTTCTCCCTTCTTATGGTACGAGCACCAGTCGACATTGCATTCTTGGAAAATCTTCTGCGAGTGCTGCCTTCCCCTTTCAGAGAAAGAACGAGTGAAGAGGGACACTAGCAGCAGGTTCTAGCTAGGTCGCCAGAATTGCAGAAAAGCGAGAAGACGTTTCCTACAACGATTGATCGCACAAAAATCATCGCTACCGAAAAATTTACTGAAAATCTACACTTTTCAAACGATGCGCGCGCAGAGGGTGTGAGCCACCTTAAGTGTACGGGAAGGGGTGGTCGCTACACGAGCATACAGAGTTGTGCAACAGCAGAGATATCTGTTGTTGTTGGTGTTTGGCATCGTTGGTAGTGAAGGTGTACAACTAGGTTCCTTGAGCTCTTGACATTTTTTAACTTTCTTTTCTTTTCAAGTGTTTCTCTCCTAGCCAAGGGCTTTCTTTGAACTTTTATCTCTATAGTTGTAGTCCCTTACTTCTCTCCATCATTCCCTGGTATGTAGTATTTTGAGAAAAACGGAACGAAAGCGTTCAGTACTTATGAGACACACACACACACACACAAACACACATGCATACACACACATGCAAATACACACACATGCACACACACCAACACACACACACACAAACACACACACAAACACACACACACACACACACACACACGCATACACACTTGTTGCTTACTGCCGAAACGGGTCACCTGGGTCTCCCCGGGAGAGGGGAGAGAGACTCAAAAGGAATCTTCAAAAGATGACTCAATTGGCTATTGAACCGCCCAACGGCCGACACCCCTGAAATGTCCAAAACTCTGAGTGGACTTGAAAATGATCCCACTTATGGGCTCACCAAACCTCAGTAAGGGGTGAGGATGAGGTGCAGAAAAAAAAAGGATTGACGGCATCAGGGTATCCGTCCCGGGATCCAACTGCAGTTAACCCTGCCCCCTGTGAAGGTAATACTTGCTACTAGGGTGGGTGGCTAAATCAGAGTGGATGTGATAAAGGCTTCACTAGCACCGTTGATTACACAAGAGTTAATCTAGCCAGAGCAGTTCATGGTTAACAGGTATGTAAACTTCAAAAAGACCGTTTATGAACACTGGAACCAACGAAGGTGGCAGGTACAACATTACACCTTCAAGCAGCCGAGCCCGTTGCCAACAGACCCAACAAAACCAGGCATAAGTGACCCACCAACCGAACTAGCTGACACACATACACACACACACACACACACACACACACACACGCAAACACACACACACATGCAAACACACACACACACACACATACACATACACACACACACACACACACACACACACACACACACACGCACACTCAGACATGCCCATCGCGGAAGCGATGATGGCGAATGTTAGACACTGCAACTTGTGCTGGGATTACACCATTCAACAGCTTGCACACATACACACACACAAACAAAAACACACACACACACACACATGCACACATTCTCAGCATGAACACTCAATCATTAAGTGCCGGCCATGGGATTGGCATGACGACAACACAGATTCATCATGGTACACCACTGACCTTGACATTCATATCTCGTTCGGTTGAAAGCATACCCATTTAGGCAGCTACATAAGTAGGAATCACCATTGCTTAAACACATCGTTTTAAAACCACAGGGATATGGGTTGCATTTATTCGGGGTAGCCTGAACTGAGCACATAAGATACAACCAAAAATCAGAAGAACACAAAATATCAGTGTATTGCATTTCTTCAAGTTTCAAACGATCCGTCGGGGAAGTGGACGACTGCGTGAAAAGAGAAGAAAAAATGCCAGGCCCACCAGGACCGTCAGGCGAAATAGCACGTCATCGTATATTTGAGACCAGCGGGAAGAAGATGACGACATCCACTCATTTAGTATCTGTGTACACAAATGTGCTGTGGGTGTGACTTTGTTTGTCAGTTTTGACATCAAACCCTGTGGTTCCATGCCTAGCATGTAGGTCAGAAACATCCTGCAAAGTTTGAATGATGTAGGTAGAACGATCGCGCCGCCAACCGTACATTTTGAAATACTGTTCGTAGTATACCTTCCACCATTGAAATTTCGAATTTCTTGCTGAGAGGGGTAGCTTGGAACCTCGATATGGCTTGTTCCAGGCATGCTGTGAAGCGAAACCCTGTTGAAGTAGTGGTGGGGATCTGCCCTGCAACTGCTACAAAAAAAATGATTTGACCTGAAAAAGCGTGAGACCGCGAATCTCGGTTGAATATTAAGTATTTCAAACCTTTTTAGATGAAGATGGAGTTCTTTTTGGACATGGATGTCGCGGCAAAGACATGGTTTCCGACTTCTGGCGTCTGGTGAAGCCAGGGATCATTAACGACCTGACTGGACAAAATTTGTCCAGACAAAATTTGTCCAGTCAGGTAAGCTTGTGTTTGGATCGCGTTCTGCTCGATGTGGTAGATCACAAACAATTTTGATATCGCACAAAATGAACTCTGCATCGCACGTACGGTATTTATATTCAGAAAATCGCAAAAAGTGTCTCTGACTCTCTGTGTGGCCATCCTATGCCACAAGAAACTCCAATCAGGCTCCTATGTCTTCTGCCTTTTTGATTGAATGTCCACTTTGTTTGAACAACGAACACAACAATCGAGGACGGCTTTGCAATGAAAAATACAGCTATACTGGAGCTGAAAAAAAGAAAAGAAAAAACGTCCCCAGGATGAGATTCGAGTACACGAGTCTCTCCCGGCAGGTTCTGTGGATGTCGTTCATAGATGCGTAATTTCGCGTGACGTCGATCCCGGGACCTCGCTTGCCAAGAGCAATGCTCTAACCAACTGAGCTATGGGACCAGGCCGAACCTAGAAGACGCCCTTTTTTTTGTGTTTCTTTATTTGAATTCGCTAGTACACACCATGTGGCATCATTTATGATCCACAGCAAGAAGGCAGCAATGCCTGTACCTATGGTGAAGTAAAATAAAAGGCAACATAACATAACACCGGCTACAAAACCAATTACATGGAAAGCGAATGTGAGGATGGAATGGGGAGATGGAGGAGAGGGGTCAATGCTCTAAATAACTTGTTCAGCAGTGTGCACAGTGTACAGTACCTCCCACACAAAGGACAAGAATCACACAAGTTATTTTGCCTTGTCAAAGTCAATCGTCGAAAAAAATACGTTTTGGCGGTCCGAATACGTCCTGCTTTCATGTGCCATTACGGGCTAAACAATTCTTTTTTTACAAGGAACGCTCTTTGCATGATTCACAATTACAAGCTGATTTTAAGAGTACATATCCAGGAGATATAGAGCGGGCAGGACCTGTGAAGCTGCTCAGCCGACCTGGAGGTCTCGGCGTCATGGCTCGCCAGATGCACAGGAGATATAGAGCGGGCAGGACCTGTGAAGCTGCTCAGCCGACCTGGAGGTCTCGGCGTCATGGCTCGCCAGATGCACAGGAGATATAGAGCGGGCAGGACCTGTGAAGCTGCTCAGCCGACCTGGAGGTCTCGGCGTCATGGCTCGCCAGATGCACAGGAGATATAGAGCGGGCAGGACCTGTGAAGCTGCTCAGCCGACCTGGAGGTCTCGGCGTCATGGCTCGCCAGATGCACAGGAGATATAGAGCGGGCAGGACCTGTGAAGCTGCTCAGCCGACCTGGAGGTCTCGGCGTCATGGCTCGCCAGATGCACAGGAGATATAGAGCGGGCAGGACCTGTGAAGCTGCTCAGCCGACCTGGAGGTCTCGGCGTCATGGCTCGCCAGATGCACAGGAGATATAGAGCGGGCAGGACCTGTGAAGCTGCTCAGCCGACCTGGAGGTCTCGGCGTCATGGCTCGCCAGATGCACAGGAGATATAGAGCGGGCAGGACCTGTGAAGCTGCTCAGCCGACCTGGAGGTCTCGGCGTCATGGCTCGCCAGATGCACAGGAGATATAGAGCGGGCAGGACCTGTGAAGCTGCTCAGCCGACCTGGAGGTCTCGGCGTCATGGCTCGCCAGATGCACAGGAGATATAGAGCGGGCAGGACCTGTGAAGCTGCTCAGCCGACCTGGAGGTCTCGGCGTCATGGCTCGCCAGATGCACAGGAGATATAGAGCGGGCAGGACCTGTGAAGCTGCTCAGCCGACCTGGAGGTCTCGGCGTCATGGCTCGCCAGATGCACAGGAGATATAGAGCGGGCAGGACCTGTGAAGCTGCTCAGCCGACCTGGAGGTCTCGGCGTCATGGCTCGCCAGATGCACCTTGGTGTGCATGTGCCGGGATGGGGGTGCTGAAGGACGTTCTACCAACCCTTCAACAGAGCCGCTTGGTTTGCCAACTCGAATGCCGGAATTGGGCCAGCCGGTATGTCGGTCAACCTGCTCAGCACCTGAGCGCACGCATCCAGCAACATGTCCCGCTGTGGATTTTGTCGGCGTCATCTAAACACTCGGGGCATGTTCGTTTGCGCGAATCCGTGGGCCCCGGATCCGAATTCGCCAAATTTCTACACGTTCGATAGTACGAATCCGGATCCCGGTCCCACTGAATCGGATCCAGTCAACCCAGCACACAGATCCAGGTTCGACGGGTTCATTTGCATTGTTCCTACCATAGTGTCTTGCATTAAAGCCTATCTCGAATAGAATCCTGTTTTGAATAGAAACCTGATTTCAAGATGCGCTCTCAGCATGTAAGCTTGGTTTTAGTGTTGACACATATAGAAATACCTGGTTTTAGTGTTGACACGCATAGAAATACCTGGTTTGAATAGAAGCCTGATGTGAATAGAAGCCTAGCCCTGGCATCGGTTTCTACAGGAATACGCCCGGCTTTAAGCAAGAGTATGTCTCATTGGAGTATGTGCTGAGCAAGAGTACCGTAGAATCCCGCCAGGCCAGAGCGCCCCGTCTCTCCCATGCGCCCCTTATCCCCGACTTCCTGCCGGGGAAGTGAGAATCCTCGTATGGCTCCGTGAAGTAAACAACATGTGTGAGGCCGTACAACACTGCAGAACCGTGCTCAACCTGGTTGGAAATGTCCGCAGTACTTCACACAATCTTGACCAGGGATCGCACACACCCTGAGTTTTGACGGGTCTGTACGACCCCGGGGCTCTTAAACCTTTGGTCAGTGTACGAGATGCACGAACAGTTTTCGCACGGTGAGTACGTTTTCATGTGGTACAGAATGCGGCAGGTAGGACACTCCCATCCGCCCCTCCCCACCTAAACCTACTCGAAGGGTGGCGGAGGTGGGGGCACTCTGGCGCGATTCTACGGTATGTGTCATCGGAGTATTGTATCATTATTAAAAGCGAGTTGCACTGTGAAAGCAAAAACCACATGTGCTTACCCAGTGTCGTTGTCATCGCCAACGCCTCGACGAGGACAATAACGGCGAAGAGTGCACGTCGTGCCATGGCCTGCACCATCGGTGAGCTGCAGAGGGTGCAAAAGAAAACACGGGAAGCAAAACGACTCGCCAACGGCTTCCCACGCGGAATAAACACTGATTGAGCCCATTGCGCATTGCCAAATATGGGAGGTACGAGTAATGCATGTGAGTACACTGGGATCAGGAATGTACTGGAGTGGTAAACACCCCAGACGACCATGCCCAGGTTGCTGTGTGGGGTGTTGATGGTACAAATTACGTCATTGCAAAATGGGCTTATTGCTCAGCAAAGAAAGCCATAAATAGGTACATGTAGTTTAGAGCAGAGCTCTATGATTGAACAAATGTTATAGGGTGTTCACACGACGTGAAAATGAACGAAAACATGTTTTGTGTAAAAGTGGACAAGCTGCCCATCGGATTCACACGGACAACAGACCCGTGCAAATCTCGCATGCGTCTGCAGATCTGTGTACTCATGTACTTGAGTACCATACTCAAGTACGTTAGCTGTTTTTACACGCGTGCAAAGGACAAACGTGGGCCTAGGACCCACGAGCAAGTTTATCAAGATTTTGCACGCGCTTGGGTCACACGAGTAAAAAGAGCACCACACACGTGAGTTTGCGCATCGTGTGAATCCCCTATAAGCTTGCAGAACTGGGTTAATAAATTATGGAAAGTGTGTCAGAGATGAAAGAAAGACTCTCCCCTAGTGAAATGTTATCGGTGCTCTGTGCACGCACTAGAACTTCGGACTTGGGTCCGGTTCATGATTCATTCAGCGGGGCGTAGCTTGTCCCCTGTTAAGGGGGTGCACGGCCGCATATGTGCAGGATGGCTGCATGTTATTCATGGTCATCATGCGCATTCTAAACCTAGGTCGAAATTCTTGGGGGGGGGGGGGGGGGGGGCGGCATGTGCCCCCCCCCCCCCCCCCCCCCCGTGCCCCATGCGGGCGACACGCCTGCTCATCATTCTCAATAACCCTGCCAGGATGTTTTGCTTTTCATCAGTGCGTGACCCGCCTAGCATTCTCCCCTCCCCCCCCCCTTTCCTCTTCTTTATAAAAAAAAATAGACGATACGCATGCATGTGGGTGCGTGTGTGTGGCTGTGTCATGGAGGCTTAGTTTTCCGCATCGGTAGGAAAGCCACCACCCTTCAAGGATCAATTCACAATGAGTGAGTAAGTTGTGTTATATTTTGAAGTGCACCCGTAGGTTGGGATTTAGGGGTTGTCAGCCGTTGGGCACCAAATGAGTTACCGTATTATCTTCAACAAAAGCCCAGGTCTCCAATAATAGCTCAGTCTCCAATAATGACTCGGGTTGAGTGTTGTTTGAAATATTAAAAGGGAACTTCTCCCAAAAATCAAAACGTCATGGTCCGTAGAGTTTTGGACGCTGAGTCGAATGGTGAAGGTCCCACTTCGATCCGAGCAAGCGTTCCCGAGATGTCTTCGGTTGAAATTGTACTTAACAACCATATGTTTGGTTATTTGAAGAAACATTATCTCGAACCCAGTTTGAAATGTCTGTGTAAAGATGCGCATACAGGTGGGTGGCCAGGTAGCCATCGTTAAACTTTCTGCACGTTATCATGCCAAAATTACAAAAACGTTTTGGTTGTTAGACTTTCCGGTTTTACAGTGCTTCGAAGTACGCAACAAGTATATTGATTGCATATGTAAACGCAGCACAACATGCCGCCGCCCGCGCGCGCATTTGTAACGGTGTTTATCGGTCTACTGCTTCCTTCCTGGTGCCCATGCTATTGCAAAACATCAGTCATGACAATATTACCGAGGTCGGGGTTTCGAAAATCAGTGTTGGTATGGTCAGTTTATGCCTACATTGCATATAAACTGGAATTGGCTGGATAGTGGGGCATTGAAAACATAGAACCACAGCCTCGAATAATAGCACAGTCTCTAATAGTAGCGCGGGTAGAGCTGTCACTGAAATAATAAGAACCCTGGGCTCTTATTAGAGAAAAAATGTGTCTTTCCAAGATTTCTTTTGGATTTCTCTCCTGTCATCGCGGGGAAAATCACGATTCCGTGGGTGCAACGTTTTCTGCAATTTTGACGACTTCTTATATAAGTCCCACGATTTTCGCAAATTCTCTGCAATTTAAAAAGTTCTGTTGCATTAAAAACAAACGTCGAAAGCCTTTGCTTGTGTCACATGATCTTGGTCTTGCTACTCCATAGTCTGTACATGTGATTAGCAAGCACAATTACTTGAGGACTGAAGGGCATGTGTAGTATCCCTGCCCGACCACTACGGAAGCAGTACGGAACTAATACGGAGCTTGCCTGATGTATATTTAGTGTATCTCCGTATGTAAGCGTACGTCGTCTGCTGCATAAAAGCGGCTGCGCATTTCTGTTTTGATAAAGAGAAGATTAGATTAGATTAGATTGGATAGCAATGAAAGCTAACTCGAAGAATAAGGATTCAGCCTCTAGGTGAGCACCGGAGAGAAAGTTAGTTATTTTGCCGCTTCTTCTTTCACGAACGATTATATCTCAGGTGTGTACCTGAAAGTAGAATAAAAGTACTTCGAAGTAATTCTTCTTGATTTCACCGCGCCTACCACTCGGCGACCTATTACATTGTTGGCAGCGGTGTAGTTTTAAATAGAACAACGTGATTCGACCCCAGACCCCCACGGCTCAACCCGCTGCAGCTCCCTGCGACGAATCAAGATGAGAATCATGTTTCGTGCCGTCCTGGGCTTGGCCCTACTTATTAGCCTGCAGCTCAGTCAGGGTGCTAGCGTGGATCACCCTTCTCTCCGCACGGCACTCACTGGAGACTCCGATGGCGATTCCAAGCGACCCGCTACCTACATGTATACTACCGGTGGTGATGGCGAAGCTGATGAGGACGACGACATGCAGGCTGCTGACCAAGACAAGGAGGGTATTCCCCAAGACCAGCAGCGTTTGATTTTCGCCGGCACGCAGTTGGCAGACGGCCGAACCCTGAGTGACTACAACGTTCAGCAGGAGTCCACTATTCACTTGGTACTTCGTCTCCGTGGTGGGATGCAGATTTTCGTCAACACTCTTCCTGGCTAGACCATCACTCTTTACGTCGCGCAAAGCGATGTTCTCGACAATGTGAAGACCATGATTCAAGACGAGGAGGGAGGTCATTTGTCTGACGCCGAGCTAGCCGCTCTGGGTGACCGGCTCAACCAAGATGAAGATAAAACCTGGCTCGCCCTCCGCCATAGCTCCAGCCGCCGCCGTGGTTACTAACGCTGATTCCAGGTATGGCATTTTCTTTCCTGTCTTCCTTCAGTCTACCTGTTCTCTTCAGTCTTCCTTTATGCGAGTGTGTGAATCCAGTTTAGTTTGGTAGGCGTCTGATCATGGTGAGCCACGGCTTACCCAGCTAACGTGGGACAATGTGTGTGACAACGCCCCTTATAGTTATAGTGTATTCAGTTCGGTTTTTGAACTGCGATGTTCCTGGCGGGTTGTGCCAGCGTAGTGCAGCAAGAGTGCTGTGGTTTCAGGTCCTATTTGGAGAACAGTTCTTTCCCTTTTGACCCCGTGAGATCGTGTGAACCTGGTGTGCTTTTACTTCTATTTTATGATTTGTTATCAGTTCATTTCTTCTGTCTACTCTAAACGTTATCATTTCCGATATAATTTGCCATCTTCCGGTTGACGCTGTTGTTCGTAACTCCTCACTAATTTTTGAAAATCACGAGGGCGTGATTATCTGTAGGAAGGGAGGGTGTAGTATCCCTGCCCGACCACTACGGAAGCAGTACGGAACTAATACGGAGCTTGCCTGATGTATATTTAGTGTATCTCCGTATGTAAGCGTACGTCGTCTGCTGCATAAAAGCGGCTGCGCATTTCTGTTTTGATAAAGAGAAGATTAGATTAGATTAGATTGGATAGCAATGAAAGCTAACTCGAAGAATAAGGATTCAGCCTCTAGGTGAGCACCGGAGAGAAAGTTAGTTATTTTGCCGCTTCTTCTTTCACGAACGATTATATCTCAGGTGTGTACCTGAAAGTAGAATAAAAGTACTTCGAAGTAATTCTTCTTGATTTCACCGCGCCTACCACTCGGCGACCTATTACACATGCATTTCATGATGTAAATTTCCTCGCTCAGTACTGTTTGATAAACCAAACATGGATACGTTGAACGAGGAATTTGTCTAATAATTCAATCCGTCACTGAACGAATCAGGAGCGTCGGACACGGCACGATCACTACGGTATTGACAGTACTACTTTGTGCCCCCAGCTACCCCGTCAATAAAATAAAATACACTGACTTGGGCAGGGAAATTTCAAAAATTTCAAAAATTTCAAAAATTTCCCTCACCCCTGTAGCGACCTCGCCGCATGACGTCAACTCCCTCACTACTTGTACGCATGCGCATGAAACATTTCATCCTCTTTGTTCTAAACTAAACAACAACTATTAGACAAAGTTGCCCTCTCCTCGGAGTTGTAATTATTAGGCCCCAGGGTGGTATGTCCCTGTATTCATCTGTCTCCCCCGTGAACAGATCCGACCTCTGTCACCTTTTGGTTACCTAACCCCCCCCCCCCCCCCACGAGTAAATTGTATTATTTTCAGGTGGCTCACCGTACCACACTAAAAACCCTTTGAGTTTCCGACGCCCCTGTGAATATTCTATAAATCCAACACAATCAAGTCACACAGGCATGCATGTTGCAGCGAGCGGAAGCTGACAAGTCGCGAGCTTAGGGCTATCCGACGTTATCGATAATTTTAACGAAACGAAAAAGTGTAGTTAGGACCCCCCCCCCCTGAACGAAAAATAGATTGACTTGACAGCAAGAATGTCTTTAAGTCTTACATATCAATATTTTCCAAAACGAAACTCCCCTTGACCCACCCACCCATATACGAAATTTTTTCTCTTCATGTGAAAGATAGATAATTATGGACGGCCCCTTACAGCTAGCCACCCACCTAAGCAGTGCAGTACACAAATGGCACTACAAGTGCTGCAGAGACACACCGGATGCGAGCGAGATCTTGTACAGATACCGTACGGGCAGAAATTTTCGTCGGTCAATAATTTCGTTCAACTCCAAGCTATGAATTTGAGCGAGGTTTGACCGAGTTATGACCTGTTGAAGTTTCACAAACAAATGTGCAGAATTCTACACATTCAAGTATGGGTCGGCTTGCTGTTGTAAATTCCCTGCATTTTTGGGGTTTTTCTTTCGGGATTTCCCCACAGTCAGGGACAGTCTCTCCATTCTTCGGGGATACTCACTTGGCCAGTTTATGGTAGTGAGCAATTACAAACATGGCAGTGAGCGCTCGCGTAGATGGATGTGTGCGCGCGTGTGTGTGTGTGTGTGTGTGTGTGTGTGTGTGTGTGTGTGTGTGTGTGTGTGTGTGTGCGCATGTGTGCGTGTGTGTGTATGTGTGTGTGTGGGTGTGTATGTGTGGGTGTGGGGGGGGGGGGGGGGGGCGTGTGTGTGTGTATGTGTGTGTGTGTGTGTTTGTGTGTGTGTGCGTTTGTGTGTGTGTGTGTGTGTGCGTGTGCGTGTGTGTGTGTGCTTCATCCCAGGTTTTCACAGCGTCAATACCCAAGCAAATGTTCCGCTACAGTAGGCACGCAACCCTACAGTGCTCTAGAAGTGGACTTTTGTCGGCACATCAGTAATCTACTCGGGTCAAACATTTTTCATGTAAATTTGTATTTTTTTGTATTTTAGTATATTTAAGGATTTCCCAAAGGCTTTGGGCCTGTCGAGGGGATCTCCTGCAAGAAGAATGAAATGACAACTTTATGTAGAGGGAGCAGTTAATCGAGGATAGGCTAAGGAAATAGATCGAGGCATACAAAATCTGGTAATTAAGGAGTTGGGATACCGTCAGTGTAATGAATATATCGGCGAAAATGCTGATAGAGAGAATGCTTGAATTCGGGGAGGCTGGTTATAGCGGTAAGAGAAGGCGGTAGGCAATTCCATAGCATTGCAGCTTTGTTGGAAAAGAGGGAAGAAAAACGCACACCGTGATAATTGATGTTAAGTTTGTTTGGTCTTCTTGGACTTGAAGACAATGAAAGGTGAACATGTTGGAGGTGTTCTGGAGATATATGTATAAGTTTAAATAGAGTAACAAGAGCTGATACTTGCGTAAATGCTCACCTTTTTCATCATTTACAGAGGCTGTGCGTCTTCTAGAGTGCTCAATTCACAATCCATCATTTACTTGGACACGGATAGAGAGCCAAGGATACATTTAAAGCAAAGAAAAAAGAAGTCTGAAGAAAATGTTGAACGGCCTCTGCTGGGATGACGACTACACCATAGCTCAGTGGTTAGAGCATCGCTGGCTACAAGCGAGGGTCCCTGGTTCGAGTCCTGGTGGTGACAGTCAATTTTTTCTTCAGACTTTTCCCGTTTGTCTCTTTCCCTCAAACCAGTTAATATTTTAAAGAAAAAAGGACCAAGAAACTACAAGTTACACTATTAAGTCCACAGATGTGCTAGAGCTGTTAGCCAGCTACCGTAAAATCCCTCCAGAGCGCTCCGCCGCTCTCATCCGCCCCTCCCTGACTTCTTGTCAGGGAAGTGATTGATTGTATCCTCGTATGACTCTGTGTTACCGCGCTCTACTGCAGACGCGTCCTCGACCCGGTTGGAAATGTACGCAACAGTGCCCACCCTCTTGACCAGGGATCGCACAAACCTTGAGTTTTGACGGGTCTGTACTACTCCTGGCTCTTGACCTTCGGTCGGTGTACGAGATGCACGACCAGTTTTCGTAGGGGGAGTACTTTTTCATGTAGTACTGAATGCGGCAAGTAGGACTCGCCCATCCGCCCCTCCCCACCTGAAGCGTCGAGGAGGTAGGGGCGCTCTGGCGGGATTTTACGGTAGTTTTAGAACGTCAGTACCGTCGGTCAGTGCCGTGCAATGTTTTCGGATGAGCTGATTGTTTAGTAACGGGTGGTGTTAGTGGACATTATAGGGTAACTTGTAGTTTCTTGGTCCTTTTCTTTATTAGGGCGATAAATAGTATAAGCGAAGCAGACATTACGAAATGATCAATGAGAATACATGTATGTTAAAATTGATTTTCCCCTGATGATAGTCTCAAGAAAATCGATTAGGAACATCAATTTTTACATACATGTATTCTCATTGATCATTTCGTAATGTCCGCTTCGCTTATACTATTTATCGCCTTAATAAAGTTATTGTCTCCTCGTCGCCTATTCATTTTTTCTTTATCATAATTATTATTATTCTAGACTTTCAACCTAGGTTGATTTGAGAGTGCCCATGCAAACGCAACCTTGCAGTTACCGCATAATAATTATGTACTTTTGCTGATGGCGGACACTCACATCATAACTATGTTCCAATTACAATCGAAACGTAGTACGACTGAAATGCAACGATTACACTCTGTGGGGTCATACTACGTGCCATCCGGACCAGGGGCAGGCCAGCTCGCGCCCACTTCGGATGTCTACTGTTGTCATCCGATAGGCGATAAGGCCACTGATTCGCATAACAGCTGCTTGTGATATTGTTCAGCTGAGTAGGGCTCTTTCAGTGAACGCAGGTTTACCACTCACAGCACAATATGTCATAGAGTCATACTACGTGATACTACGTGACCTTACTTGAACTGCACGGAGCGAGGCGATGCGAGTCTTCGCCGACGCCCTCGCCAATCCATGCTGCAGCACACGCTGGGCGAGCCTATGCTCTCCCGACACCTGCCCACGGGCCATTTATGATTAACACAGCCAATACACTTACACAGAAATCCAGTTACTGAGGGGGCACAAGTACGCCGGATGTCGTCAACCTGGTCGTCAGGAGTCTTTTCGCCAATCCCACGATCCAAAATAAATTCAGCGAGCCGCCTCCGAGATTACGGCAGATACCGGGCTTCGTCCACACCGCCAGCGGCCAGAACGTTCTTACAGGCAACTAATACTTCCACGAAATTCGCCAGCTAATGGTTGCTGCAGTTAGTTTGCTTAGACGATTCTAAAAACAAGAAAGCACATCTCCTTTATCAAAGACCAACTATTCGATTCCTCGGTCACCGAATCAAAATATCAAAATCTAGTCAGTCGTGCCACAGATAGCTATTGCTTGATTTATACACTGGTTTCGTATTAGAGAAATTCGTCGGCATATGCTGCCAAATAAGTCACTCGATCCCCATAGTATTGCGTTCGATGTCGACGGAAGTGGACGAGCAACAATGTTACATTGCAATAGACGGCTTGCAGCGCCTCTCGGGGGATGCCGTACAGGTACGCACGACTGGCGAGTCGCAAAATAGCGCAGTACATGATTGCACCTGACGTATTTCGAAGACTCTCTGACTCTGGCCTAGCCCTGTGCCATACCTGTGTGCCTGTGAATGTGTGTGGTGCATGCATGTGCATGCGCATATGCACCCAGTCGATCCAAGAACGCGAATTTCCCGTGGGATGTTGACTGACATGACCTACTTTATACTCTAATAATACGCTGCGATCAACCACTCTGTGTTTTGTATTCGTATTTTTAGATCCACCACGGGCCTTAGCCTAAATCCAGGGAGTCTCCGTCAACAGCAGAAGAAGAAGCTGAGGAGAGAAATAAAAATAAAAGATAGAATGATGCGGGCGGGGTGGTGGTAATTTTAAAACACGGACCACAGTGCACTAGTGCTCTATGCCATCGCTACTCTACGAGGAATGAATCGGTCGTACAGTCTTCGACTACTACGTGCATGTTACATGCAACTATGAATGACTATGACTTGTATCTAGTAGTACTGAGTAGACTACCTCACGTACACCTCTCCCCCTGACCTCGTGTACTACTACTACTACTACTACTACTACTACTAATAAAGCACCTCATCAGTGCAATGATTACGTCAAGGTGTGTTGTTGGTGTAGAGGTGAAATTCTCACATGCCGGTATATCCCACTTCCCAGGCCAAGGATAGTAACAGTTACGTGCTACTTTCACAGTTTAAAAGTTGCGTTTTCATTCCTTTCGCTCGCTCCCCCCCCCCCCCCCCCCCCACACACACAGCAAGCAATCCCTTCACTGTCTGGCTTCAGGCAACATTGCGCAGACCTACTAGACGTGAGCAGGAGAAGCGGCGACGATGACCGAAGAGGGCTTTGCCGGCAAGGCAGCTGGTGTTTCGTACTTCCGGTAGCCTCAGTAGAGAGGTTTTGCATTCCGAATTTCGGAATTATTTTCGGAATGTGGCGGCAGGAGTCGAAAAAGTAGTCGAACTTTCGGAAGTGTGGTGGCGAAAGTGCATGGTTTTCCGAAAATAGATTTTCGGCTCTTTCATGTTTGGGAGTGCATATTTGAATACAAAAAAGTGTATTTTTCATGTTTGTATTTTTGCTTTCTGCTGCTCTCGATTATTTGAAAAATTTCCACGTATGTAGTTTTGATTTTTGCTGGTTTTGCTGCTCTCGCTGATCTCGCCATGTTGTTGTCTTCTCACACTTCATCACACTCTATCTTCCTTTGCCCTGGAGCCTACTAACAGTACAAGACAGTAGTTCGCCAACCTCGTCTTCAGCTGTTGGATCACTTGGTCCACCATCAGTCCGTCCTCGTCTTCGAACCGCACCCAAATAAATTTTAATTCAGTTTGACCTGCGCACATGGATTTGATCCTGCTCAACCCCTTCGACGCTCTCCATTTTGGAAAACGAAGTCGAATCAGATTTTCGGAATGCAAAACACTGAAAATACCGTTTTTCGGAACGCGCTTTTTTCGGAAAAGCACAGTCGAAAATCATTCCGAAATTCGGAATGCAATGTTCGCGGAGAAGTGGTCCTGTGGAGCGAACCGCACAGAATGATAGTGCATGTATTGTACTGGGTTGGGATTTTATTTATAGTGGTGACTATAACAGACAACTGCCTAATAACAATAGACCCACTGGAGGGAAAGATGTAAAAAGATAAGAATAATTAATATATGTAGAAGAGAAAAGGACATATGGATACGAGTTAAGAGTAACTCTCCATCACTGTAACATGTAGTAGTAGTAGTAGTATTTTTTTATTTTCCATCGGAAGCCTCAACAGTGATGAACACAACTCTTGAGAGGGCCCATAACAGAGTAGAGGGGTGTGGGGTGAGAAAAAATAATAAAAATAATAAGAGATATTTAAACTAAACTAAACTGATACTTGGAACAATAAAGCAGCAGTAAGCAGTAAGCAGTAAACACAGGTATACAATACAAGCGATGCAGATCAATGAGGCCGTTTGCTGAAAAGAAGATCAAAATACTTCTGAAAAGACGCTGCGTCTTTAAGCATGGTCATAATGGGATAATGCAAGAATTAAAGAGATGTTTTTAAAAACGAATTTAAACTAGGAACGCAGTAAACACAGTTATACAATACAGGCGGTCATGATACTATATACAGTCAGAAAGTGCAATAACTAGGCACAAAACTGACAGAGTACTGAAACATTCAATTAATAATGCAAGGAAAAAATTGAAGGCGTATCCGATTTCGAAAGAAAAGGTGACAGCACCGACGCAATCCACACAGTCAAGTTAAAGCCAATTTCCTAACCGAACGTTTTCAGCAATCGGCGATCAAGAGTCATCTGTCGGTTAGTGATAGTTGTCGTGAGTTGTACAGAGATGATGTTTTCTCAGTTTTGGCCCGTGGCACATCTGTATTACATTTGTCTGTTTTGGAAGCGTTATAATTATTATATTCGCAAGTTGTCCACTGAACTGTGCGTCGAGAAGGAAAATGTTTTGTCGCTTCAGTTGTTTGGCGCTAATCCTCGTGAAAGTGTCAGGAATGCTTCTTCTCATTGATGTTTTCATTATGTTTTAGTCATTTCTTCCCCTTCACCCTGTTGTTGACTTGTTCAGCTGAATTTTATTTTTCTACACGTATAGCGTGGGTTCTCAATCTATGCTTTTTCTCTATAAGTTGCTGTATTTGACATTTTTCCATTATTCCCTGTATTTACCCATGATGAGAAGGGAACGAAAACGTTCGGTTACGAAATTGGCTTACTTGACTGTGTGGATTGCGTCGGTGCTGTCACCTTTTCTTTCGAAATTATAATAGACTATTGGATAGGTGATCATGTCCGCGATAGAACGAATGGTTGAGGCAACAGAAGATGGGCGCCCAACCTTTGCATACATTTTGCATAGCTGAATGTCATAAGTACTAGCGTGAACAAGCAAGGCATTGGGGTAACAATTTCTTAAAACGGGCGGAGTTATCCACACAGTGAGCTAGAGGGTGTAAATCATTCCACAGCAGGGAGTCGTAAAATACGTATTTTACGACTCCCTGTTCCACAGCTTAGCACATTGGAAGGAAGCGCCATGCATGACGGGCAAAGGCAGTTTTTTAAAATATTTTTTTACTATTGAACACTCACTGCATGATTTATTATTATTATTTTAAAAAATTATTATTCTTTTTAATACTAGGGAATTCCCAACAGGCGTCAACGCCTTTTTACAGGGAACCCTAGGTATGATTTGATGGATGAGCGAAATTCAGCTGGTGAACTAGACATACGGCAAGCCGGTGGAAGTGTATTTCACCTGGCAGCGCCCAAATAAGAAATTGCACGAAAGCCATGTCGGGTGTTAGCGGGGGGCAGAACAAGAGCAGCAGAGACTTGGCCACGGGTGGTGGCTGCAGTGCGAGCACCATGGGCGCGCAAGGTAAAGCGATATCGCAGAAGAGGACTAGCAAGTAGGCCTTGACGGATTATGCTAGCATAATTTTTCGCATAATTCCTACCAAAATCGAATAATCGCATAATTCGAGGCTAATTGCATACGAATCGCATACATTGGAATAATCCGCGTGTTCGCATCAAATTCCATACAGTTGTACATGTTCTACAAGTACAAGGACAAGTAGATGCACCAGGAAGTCGGAGGTTTACGACTCCCTTGATAATATGTCCAGTCCATTACAATCAGTGACGTTCGTAGCTAGGTCGGACGGTGCGATGACCTCGTTGAACTTTTGCTACTGCAGTACAACGCCCTCTACAAAAGACTCCCCTGTTATTTTGCACAGAACCATCATGTACATTAGCAGCATATGTGAGCATAATGCGGCATAACATGATAACTTTTAGCATAAAAATAGCATAATTCGGGAATTTTTTCAGCAATGCGAAAAGCATAATTTCACGAAAATATTAGCATAATCCGTCAAGGCCTACTAGCAAGTCCATTCAGGCAGCGGTAAACAAATACAATCATAGGTTTTGAAGTTCAGGCGTTTCTCAAGGGCGTACAAGTTAGTATGACTGTATAGAAGAGTGGTGGGAGTCATTCTATCCAACGAAAATATTCTCTTTAATGCTACGCGGCTGGTAGTAAGAAGCTTGTCATAATTATAGAGTTTGTGATAAGCAATGAATATATGCAGTGCTGCCAAACTCAAATGTGGACTGAATGATCGATAAATAGAAAAGTCGTTTTCCAAAAATGCTGATATTCTGCTTTGCATGGACAAAATGCTCCGACCTTCCTATTGACATTTGCACATACTGCATCCACTTGGGTTGAGAAAGACAGATGTTCGTCAACCAGTATTCCTAAGTACCGAGCGTAAGCAGATGGGACTATGGAAGTGCCCCGGCAGTTGACTGCGGTGCCAGGTGGCAGCTCCGTGCCCGGTCGCCGGAGCAGAACTGAGTCTTGGACGGGTTTAACACCAGTCCCTTCCGATCTAGGTAGCGATCCAGAGCGGCAAGGTCATCACTCAGCTGGGTTGTGATGATCTGGATGGACTTGTGCCTGATATAGAGTGTGATATCATCGGCATAAAGTTGACTCAATCCATGTTGGAAGCACTGCGGTGCATCACGGGTGTAAATGCAAAATAGCAATTGGGCGAGCACGGAGCCTTGTGGGACGCCTCTTGTGCAAGGGCGGGCCCCACCTAGCTGTGTCCTACTCTTAATCGCTGGACGCGTCTGGTTAGGTAGCTTGCAAACCAAGCCAGTGCAGTGTCAGCAATGCCAAGCATCTTCAA